GCTAAGACTCTGAGAGGTATGTGTGTGTGTGTGTGTGTGTGTGAGTATGTGACTCGCTTATAACTTTTGAACGACTGAACCGATCGGAACGAACTAAACGGCGTTTCAAAGAGTTCCCTCAAACTTAGATTTCCTGAGAATTTGAACCGATTCGGACCGATAGATTTTAACAAATCTTGAAAAATCTCAAAAAAAATAAGAAAAAAATCATTTTTGAAAGTGGTTTTTTGGAATATCTTTTAAATGGCTCTATCGATCAACTTCAAAAACTAATCCGCCCTTAAGCTTGAAAAACCACGCCGATCGTCGCTAATCCGGTCAAAATCGGTTGATTCGTTCGAGAGATATCGTGAACGAAAGAAAACCGAAAAAAGTTTTTTTTCGGGATTACTCCGAACTTTTCGATTCGATCAATTAAAACCTGAAAATAACTTATGAGGATGATAAAACTGCGTCGAATGGCGCCAACCGCGTGAAAATTGGTTGATCCATTCAAAAGTTATTGTGGTTTGAAAATTCCAAAAATAGTGTTCTGTGAAACTTCTATCAGACTTTTGAGCTGGGAGAGCTCAAATGCATAGAAATATTATTTCTTTGAACTCAGTGAGCTCAAAATATCACATAAATTATATTTTGAGCTCAAAAATCTTTAAAATATCAAGTACAATTTTAAGCGCCCAGAAATCGAATTAGCGGGAAGTTGCAGGGATGGCCTTTAGGGTGAACCGTTTTTCTAATTTTTTTTTAGTTAATGACAAAATAGATGAGAAAAAAAAAACCGTTTTGCTGCTGACGAAATTCTTGGTGATACATCCGGTAGGTTTTGGCGTGAGCTATTAAAGCGTGATGACCACATAGATAATCCCCAATGCCAGATTGATTGAATCCAGGTGCAAAGTCTCCGTTGTAGCCAAAATAACACATCACCGACGGCTCGGCTATTGTTATCCAATATTTAACCTTGACGCATAAATTTAGGTGTAATAAAAAATTAAAACAGGCTTTTGATGGTTATTTGTGCTTTAGGATTACCCGATCTCCGAATGCGGTGAAGAGGACTTTGGCGTAATCGACAAACCAGTTAACGATCAGAGGATTCGTCCATCCTCCTAGCTCCTGTAATTTGTGAGGTAAATCCCAGTGGTAAATTGTGACTACAGGTGTTATATTTTGCTTTATCATTTCACT